ATTTCATTTTCCTACCGTGTAAACGCGACATGTATAATTAAATAGCTATGACCATTTATAATTATATATATGTATTAGCTGTAGATGCAAAGTGTATGCATGTGGATAAATAGTGACAGACAAAAAAATGTTTCCACTGGACATGACAAGGGTGTCTTTTACTATAGCCAATATTTATACCTTCACGCATGGTATGTAAATGCCAGTGTTAACTTGTGACCTTTTTGTTAGCAAGTGTAATCGCTACTCTGGCATTCGTACTTACTCATATTAAGCACACATCACCATCCATTACAGGGACAATTACGGCCCTCCCCCTGGCCCTATGGGTGGTCGTATGAACGATCGCATGGGTCCGCCACTGAGAGGTCCGCCAGGAGGCCCGGGTATGCGAGGCCCTCCACAAGACCGATACATGGGCAGAGGTCCCCCCGGGGTATGTGTATGTATGTATACAGTTATTGTTATTGTATATACACGCGCATACAAAGCTATATATATATATTTATATATTTGTATATGTATACATATATAAACGTACATGTATGTATTGTATGTATATGTATATGTATATATATGTATCAATATATATATATATATATACGTAATACTACTACCATGCACATGAGCGTATACATCCATGATTATTACTACCATGCGCATGTGCGTTCACCTCTATAGCAAACCCATCCTAGACATCCATGTTTACTGTTAACATGCGCATGTTCTTTCACCTATACAGGCTGGTGATATGAACCATGGTCGGTCCGTAGACCCTCGCGCGCCCGCCGCCCTACCGACGCCTGTGTTGATGGTGTATAATGTGCCGCCAGCAGTGAACTGCGACGGTATCTTCAATTTGTTTAGTCTGTACGGCCAAGTGATGAAGGTGAGCGCTACGAGTCGAGGGTTTTGGACGACTTCAGATATTTGTTGTCCGTATCTGGCCTATCCATAGGGAATGTGCAGGACTACTTAGATGTTGGTAGTCAGTATTTGGCCTGTTCATAGGAGGCTTACATAGACCTGTGGTGGTCCCATGCACGGCTTGTCTGCATTTCTAATAGTAGTTATGTGATATTAAAGTACCCGGGGTGATAATGTAGTCGAATTGGTTCGAGTGATTACGCTCTTACGCCCACCCGTGGTCTATATTTAACTCTCTGATTCACAGGGTTAGCGCACCTGTTACAATCTCATCGTGCCTAGAACACGTCAGGAACATAAGATACAGTACGTCCCTAGTGTAGCGAGGTGACAACTCCTCACACCAATTTCCATCCTCACCTTCATCCATAAACCACACACACACACACATATATATATCCACACATTGACTAAACCACACACATTCACTAAACCATTCACATTCACTATACCACACAAATCCACAGGCCAAGAAGCTACCAAACAAGGAAGGTGCGTACATGGTTGAGATGCTGGACGGCATGGCGGCAGGTGCTGTCCTGGATGCGCTCCAGGGGACCACGTGGTATGGGTCTGAGGTGGCGCTGCAGCCGTCCAAGCACTTGTTCATGGGCGGTAACACAAGTACCAACGAGACCAGGACTGTAGTCGACTACACACAGTCTGAGCACAATCGCTTCTCACGGGGCAACAAGAACACCAAAGTGCACGAGCCCACAAAAGGTGTGTGTGTGTGTGCTGAGCTGGGTATTGGTAGGTGGCTAAGGTGGGTGTCTGTGTATTCGAATGCGTCTTGAAAGGCGTGCGTGTGTACTTAAATAAATGTTTCGTTATCAACCACATATCAGTTATGCTCGGTTGTAAGTGTACCTTCGAGCAGATATGGGTACAGGTGTACCTTCGAGCAGTTATGGATAGTTGTGTTACGCCTGTGTGCGCGACATATGTCTTTTTACTGGTTACTACATAGCTGTATACCAACCTTCTGGAGACTTCGTCATGTCATTCCTGTACGTCTGAGAGAATGAGCGAATCTAGTCCCAGGGGATCGCATGTCGGCCGACCGAGTGTTTCCCACCCCCCCCTTTATCGCCAGCAGTTGCACATAGACTGTCATACAGTTTTCATGTGAACAGTGCGATATCAAGTCCTTCGAGTGTGCTTCCCTCACCTATCGCCAGAGTGTATGTAGGGTCTCGTTGCCTTTCCTACCGGACTTTCCAACATTATTTATGGATTTACCTACGTAGGCACTCCATCTATATCGATATACGCACTCAATCTAAATGTACGTACGCACTCAATCTCCCTGCCCTTGTCTGCTTGATCCGCCACAGTGGTGCACTTCTATAACCTGCCCCCTGAACTGACTCTGGACCAGCTAGGAGCTATCTTCTCGGACAACGGCGCGCCCATGCCCATTGACCAAGTCATTTTCAACAAGGGTATGTGCGGCGATTCACGTATACAGACGTTTGGTTGTGCAAACTGGTCGAAAGTGCCCTAACTTTCTTTGCATTGCATGCATCAGTGTTCTGTATGTATGTGTATTAGTGACCCTAGTTTTGACCCCCCCCCTCTCTTTTTCTCTCTCTCCTTGTGTGTTGGTATTGGGATTTGGCTGTCGGTGTAGACCAGCAGGTGCTCGTAATAGACGCATCTTAGTTGCCAGGTTCATCTGTTTGCGTGGCATTACCACCTGCGCAAGCAGTTGCACTTGTAGTCTAATTGTTAACTGGCATACATGTTATTGATATACTCGATAGGCTGCTCGCACATATACCCGTGCGTCTCTTGATCCAACCGTTATTCGATGCTATTCCATATCCGGGCGTGTATTACGCCCAGTAAAACGAAGAGTGTGTTATACATACTGCATAGCCCGTGTTATTCAAACGTCCTTGTCCTCCATTCGTTCTTACAGGTCCGGAGAAGAAGTCGTCGTCTGGTCTGGTGGAGTTTGCGGATGTTGATTCGGCCACACAGGCAGTCATCAGCGCGCACCACTCACAGATCCTCATGGGAGAGCGCAAGTTCACCGTCAAGATGGCGTTCTCAGCCACAATCGCCGTAAACAGCAAGAAACAGTAGATGATACGATTGGATGATACGATTGATCTCATTGTGTTTGTATGATACGGTGCGATACAGACACACACAGCAGCTTTGTATAGAGGCGAAGCGATGTTCTGAGGGTGAGCGTATCAGGTTCAGGGCTCAAGGTGGCGAGTGCCTTCATAATGAAACTCGGCCTGTTAACGATACTGGTATATGAGTGCTGCCCTGAAGGAATCAACACACGCTTGGTTTCAGGGGAAACGATGTACACGTGGCTGTGTCTGTGTGTGCGACTGTCCAGTTCAGTCTACCAGAACATACCTATCGACTACTGTATTACTTGACACCC